AGCAACTCGGGAGGCTGAGGTCAGAGAATCACTTGAACCTGGGAGGCAGAGGTTGCAGTGAGCCGAGATCACGGCACTGCACTCCAGCCTGGGTGACAGAGCAAGAATCCATCTCAAAAAAAAAAAAAAAAAAATTACTTTTTCTCTTTTTGAGTTTTGATGTTTGAAACACATATTTTAACACTGTCTTATGTGGGTCTCAATGTACGTAAAGCAAATATTTAAGACAATTATATTATATTATATACAAGAAAGGACAAGGGGACAACAGGAAGGTAAGGTTTCTACGCTTCACTTGAACTGGTAAAATGTTCACCAATACAACTTATCACCAGTAGACTGTGGTAAGTTATAAATGTATAATGTAAAACCTAGCAACCACTAAAGCTACACAAGGGTATATACACTCAAAAACACTACAGATAAAGCAAAATGGAATTCTAAAAACTTGTCCAAGTAGCCCATAGGAAGGCAGGAAACAAAAACAAAAAGAAAATGGAACAAGTAAAAAAGTCACCCAAAACCTATACTTTATCCAGGTTTTGAAATCAAGAGGAGATGCTATTGAGAAATTCAGCAGGCAATATAATCTCCATGGTTAAGAACACGGCTCAAAAGTCAGACTTCTGCTCAAGCCTAGACATTACCACCTCCTAGCTGTGTGATCTTAGGCAAGTTACTTAAGTTTTATGGGCTTCAATTTCCTCATCTATAACACATGAATAAAAATGGTATCTACCTGCAGAAGGCTGTTGAGATAATTTAAATTAATACATAAAAAACTTTTAGCCTGGCACATAATAAGTACTCAATGCCTGGTACATAATAAGTGCTCAAAAAAAATATTTAAATCAGAGACAAAATAAATATATTCCCAGACTCAGGACTCAGGACTCAGGAACAGAGGAAGGCAGGGGTAAGCTAAGGTTATAAATATAGAGGGATTAAGTTAAAGCCTGCACACAAAAGGACTCTGGTGTCTCTCTTCTACTGGCTCTAGAATATCTATAGCCAGGCAATTAGTGAGTTCTTCTAGAGAACGTCAACTCTGAGGAGGCCTAAAGGTGTTAAAATGCAAAGTTGCACAAAAAAAAGCCAATAGCTGGATGGATGATGATGATGATGATGATGGGAGGGTAAAAGGGTGGATGATGGGAGGGTAAAGGGTAAGTTAAAATTCAAATACACTGTAACAGGAAACTCAATTTCTGAAATTAACGAAAAAGCAATACACATTATATTAGAAATACGAAGCTAAACAGCAGAAGAAATAGCCCCCAAAAATAGAAGTCTACTGGGAATGGCACAAGACTGAGAGTGAGGAGAAAAAAGGAACAGGTTTTGTTGCTATTCTTATAGGCCTGTTAGCACAAATAGACTATAGAACAAAATGTTAGCTATGATTCCGTTTTCCCTCTAAACTCTTCTATACTAGGGGGTGGGTGAGTTACAAAAAAAAAAAACCTACTGCTACTGCACTATAATTTTTGTTTTCTTTCACAGCAAGCTTGTATTTCTGTCATAATGGAGGGAAATCTAACTAAAAATTAAGTTATAAAGAAAAGTAAAAACTAAAAAAATAATTTATTCTTCAATTCCAAATTCTATAAGCTCAAGAATTAGGAATTATCATATTTTCTTACAGCTTCTTTCCCAAAGACAGATGGGTCTTTACTGATTCTAATGTGCTAAAGTCTACCTATGGCCCCCATCCAGTGCTTGAATTTCTTCTGCAGCATCCTAAAAACGGGGGTGGCAAGCTCAGGCAAGAACAGCTCTCGGATAGCTCTCTCCTGGGCAGTTAATCCCATCTACAGCACCTCTGCTTGGGAGCTCCGCTCTACTTGGAGTTAACTTTTGTTTCCCTATACCTAACTTCTGTTCACTACCTACTAATTCTGTTTTGTTTTTTGGGGTTTTTTTTCTAGACAGGGTCTCACTCTGTAGCCCAGGTAGATCTCAGCTCACTTCAACCTCCGCATGCCGGGTTCAAGCGATTCTCCTGCTTCAGCCCCCCAAGTAGCTGGGATTACAGGCGCACGTCACCATGCCTGGCTAATTTTTGTATTTTTAGTAGAGACGGGGTTTCACCGTGTTGTAGGGGCTGGTCTCGAACTCCTGACCTCAAGTGATTGGTGAGCCTCGGCCTCCGAAAGTGCTGGGATTACAGGCATGAGCCACTGCGCCCAGCCAGTACCTACCAGTTCTGCTTCTACATCCTGGGCCATTTTTTTCTCTCTTTCATATATCAACTTTACTAATAGTTGAAGTTAGCTATCAGGCCTACTCAGAACTTCTCTTGGTAAAATTTGTTCCCTAATATGCTCAAATAAGGAACAGTTAAATCTATTATGCATGTATACTATGCAATACTCTATAGACACAACTATTTAAAATAATGAGACACAGAGAAATATCCACTATATGGTAAGTGGAAAAGCAAGCTACAGAACAAAATATATTTATTTTTGTTTAAAAACATATTATGTGGATATATGTATTTTTTCCACATATATAGATATCTTATAGACAGGATATATTCCACACTCTTTAACAGTGGTTACCCCAAGAAGTAGACAAAGGGCTTTCATTTTGTACTTTGCGTATTAATATTTTTAACGGCCAGGTGCAGTGGCTCACGCCTGTAATCTCAGCACTTTGGGAGGCCAAGGAGGGCAGATTACCTGAGATCAGGAGGTCGAGACTAGCCTGGCTAACATGGTGAAATCCCATCTCTACTAAAAATACAAAACTTAGCCGGGCGTGGTGGCATGCTTCTGTAATCCCAGCTACTCAGGAGGCTGAGGTAGGAGAATCACTTGAAACTGGGAGGCGTAGGTTGCAGTGAGCCAAGATTGCGCCACTGCACTCCAACCTGGATGACAGAGCAGGACCCTGTCTCAAAAAAAAAAAAAAAAAGAAAAAGAAAAAGAAAGAAAGAAAGAAATGTATTCAGTAGAGCCAACCTAGATAGAAAGATTATTTTATGTAGAAGTTTTGAAGAGATGCGTATTTGCCTTCTAAAACCATAACTAAAATTATCATGAGCCCATTCCATATAATCCATATAGAATTAGACCCCACCCCAGGAGAGAAATAGCTTAGACATACTGATCTCGCGGATGATACTGGACTTTTAAGATGGGTGAAGGGAATCGAAACCTCTGGTCACAGTCGCCTGAAAGAACATCCCACTGTGACACTATGTTATCAGTGGAGGCACTCACGAGCTTATGGCCGTCTCGGCTCCAGCTGAGGAAAAACAGGGGTAATTTAGCACATATTCTAGGTATACCGTACCACTCTCAGGAATAAACTGTGTAAGTCACACACTACTGCAACTGCACAGGTCAACAATGTTTCTGGTTTTGTTCTACTTATACTCAAACATGACATTTTATTATCTAGTAATGGAAGCTCATAATATTTCAAGATAAAACTATAAAGTGACTCAGTGAAATAAGAGATTAAAAACATCTTAGAAGAGTCTAAAAATCAGCTGGCCTTTAAGGTTGACATATTTGAACTTTCTGAAGTTATCTCAGAAGTTGCACCATCATGGTATAAACAAAACAAAAAAAAATGGTAAGTATCTGTTATTTAAAATAATTTTAAAAGAAACTGAGAAAGAATTAATTCCTCCTGCTAAGTACAGATAAACACACTGGACATCACATATAAAAGAGACAAAAAGGGTTCTGAAAGGTAGACAAAGGACAGACAAGCCAGAGACTGCAGAATCTTAAGGATGACACAACAGTGAAATCCCGGAATTTTCTTTCTGCCTCATGTTCTCCGTTCTGGGTGAAGGAAAAGTCAACAACCTGGTAATGCTAGTGGACACACACAAAAATCCCCAAGAAGAGGCTGCTTTCCCCAGCTAAGGGACCAGAAAAGGACAGCCTGGCAAGACAGAAAACTTCAAGACAACCACCAATCTACTCCAGCCAAACATCACAGAAAAGAACTGCAAATCCCCCTCTTAGCAAGGTTCAAGCGGATAGCCTAGACTTCACCTTTATCCAGCTATAACAAGGCACCCTCCCCACCTCACTGGGGTGGTGTCCAAGAAGGCTCAGTAGGGAATCAGATTTGCATTACCACCAGCAGTAATGAGGTTGCACCACCATGGTGTCAGAGGACACACAGAGAGAAGGAACAAGGAACTCCTATCCTTCCCAGACAGGATGTTATCAGCAGAGATCTAGTAGAGAGCCTAAACTTTCAATCCCCCCCAGCAGTAACGAGGCCAAGTAAGAAGAAATCTGGACTTTCACCCACCTCTGGCAATAACAAGATGGCACACTCCATTACCCTGTGCAGTATCAGAGGAGGCCTGCTAAACTAGAAGATTTAAATAAGATCTACAGGCCGGGCACAATGGCTCACACCTGTAATCCCAGCACTTTGGGAGACCGAGGCAGGCAAATCACTTGAGGCCAAAAGTTTGAGACCAGCCTGGCCATATGGTGAAACCCCGTTGTCTACTAAAAATACAAAAAATTAGCCAGGCATGGTGGTATGCGCCTGTAGTCCCAGATACTCGGGAAGCTGAGGCAGGAGAATTGCTTTAACCTGGGAGGCGGAGGTTACAGTGAGCCAAGATGGCACCACTGAGCTCCAGCGTGGGCGACAGAGTGAGACTGTCTCAAGAAAAAATAAAAAATAAATAAGATCTACAGTCTCATAATACCCAAAATGCCCAGGTTTCAAATGAAAATCACTTGTCAACTCAAGAACAAAGAAAATCTCAACTTGAGTAAGAAAAGACAATCAATAGACACTAATACAGAGATGACATAAATGTTAGAATTATCTGACAAGGATTATAATGTAGCCATCATAAAAATGCTTCAACAAACTATTATGAACATGCCTGAAACAGATGGGGAAAAAAACCCAGAAAATCTTAGCAAAGAAATAGAAGATACAGAGAAGAATCAAATGGGAATTTTAGAACTGAAAAATATAGTAACAGAAATAAACTCAATAGATGAATTCAGCAGTCAATGGAGGAAAAAAAGGGAAAGAATCAGCAAACTGGAAGATGGAATAAAAACTACCCAATCTCAATAGAGAGAAAACAGACATATATATATGATGTGTCTGTGTGTATACATATGTGTATACATATATATGTGTGTGTGTGTATATATAGATACACATACACAGAGCCTCAGAACTATAACAAAAGATCTAATATTCATGTCATCAGAATCCTGGAAGGAGAGAATACAGACGTGGATGTTAAGGTATTTGAAGATATAATGGCTGAAATTTTCCTAAATCTGGCAAGAGATATAAAACCTACAGATTCAAGAACATCAACTAGGATGAGCCTAAAGAAATCCACTCCAAGAAATACAAACTTCTGAAAACTAAAGACAACGAAAAACTCTCAAAAGCTGCAAGAGAAAAATGATGCCTTATCTATAGAGGAACAACAACGTGAATGAAAAGGGATTTCTCATCAGAAACCACGGAGGCCAGAAGGAAGTGGCACGTTTTTCAAGCGCTAAAAGAAAAGAACTGTCATCCCAGGAACAAACAGGTAAACTGAGACATTTGTTGCTAGCAGACATACTCTAAAGTTGGCTACCTAATGTTCAGAAAAGATTAAATGAAGGGTTTAGAAGGAAGGAAGAATGAACAATGAAGACTATAAATATATGGGTAGATAAAATTACTTTTTCTCAGCCAGGTGTGGTGGCTCACACCTATAATCCAAGCACTTTGGGAGGCCAAGGCAGGCAGATCACCTGAGGTCAGGAGTTTGAGACCAACCTGGCCAACATGGTGAAAACTCATCTCTACTA